AAAAGCAAGTAATACCAAGCATCTACATTTTCTTTTACTGAAACCCTGTTTTTTCACAAACTAAAAAAGTTAATTTCGAACCCTGAAAATAGTATCTTTGCAATTTCATATTTTTTCCCATTTCTAATTATTCCCATTTCCCATTTAAAATCTTCCCACTTCTAATTATTCTTCACTTTTCTATTCATTTGCCAAACCAGTTGCAAAATCAGTCTCCCTTGTTTGATGCTTAGATGTGTACATTTTAGTTTAAATTTAGTGTTTTTAATGTTCGTGACTGAAAATAATGTAGTTGCCACTTATAGTTTGGAGCCATTATTGATACTTAGCTTTTAAAGGGTTTTTTGGGTGTTAAGTTAGACATTTTCAGGGCCATGGGAAAATATAGTGCTAAAAGATGTGCTTGCATCAGATGGGCAAAGTCTTAGTCATGCAGCCTATTTTAGCTGAATATGCTCTCTTGGAACTCTCAGGCATGGCCCCAAAAGACTGCAATTGCACATTTTGGAGCAGGGGGCTATAGCAGGTCAAGTACAAGAGGCCTCCAGAAAATGTCCTAGTATGAATAACGTGAACTCTGAGCATCTTTCAGAACTAAAACATAATACAGATTTCAAGGCTGAAAAGGGTTATTCTTTAAAGAAGCCCAAGAGGGTCCATTAGGGCAGTGGTTCTGAACTTTATTTTTGGTTTGAGGACCACCTTGGAAAATGCCAGCTCTTCTTTTTCTCTTTTTGAGTGTAGAAAAATAGAGCAATTTTTCTGTTGCAGAAAACTCAAAGACTGCAACCGGGTCAGGATATTTTTAACACTTTGGGTTCATATTTGAAATCCCTGTGTTTTATATTGTGAATTATGTTTACACACCTAACAGTTCTAACATTGTGTGGCACGGTTAAAAAAAATCTCAAGGCACCCCGGGGTGCCATGGCATACTGGCTGAGAATCACGGTGTTGGGGTATGATGGAAGTCTTTGGAGAGATTCCTGTATTAAGACAGTGGTCCCTGAAATGATGGTCCTGTGGTGTTGATTGAAACCCATTTTTATTGGGTCTTAAGTCCATAGTACAAAGTGAATCCTCTGGATCTTTCAGTATCCTGACTTATTCCAATAGAGAAATTTCCGTGTGAAGAGATCATCTTGTGGCACAGAGTTCCTGGTGAAAGCCTTAGAAGAGCCAGTCTGATAAATATTAATGGGAGCAGTCTAAGGCCAGCATCTGTGACCGGTTTCTTAAAGCATCCTGCATCCCTTCCACAGATGTCTGCAGTATGCTGACTCCAGGTGGTTCAGCTAGATTTATCTTAATAGTAATTCTGGAATGTATGGTTAGTTTCTAGGCCTGTATTCCAGGAAACTGCATCCCTTTTTAAGATACTGGGAAATTAATTGCGCTAAGGATACTGGTGCAATTAATGTGTTAATAATGCCATAAATTGTAACATTCTGAACCAATTTGTGGTGCAATAGAATAGCAAATCAGCCACAATGCTATTTCACATTAAATTTAATTAATTAAAATGTGGAATATCTTCATGGATGTTCTGTATTTTTCTTTAAACTGAACATGTGGCCTGCAGCCCAGACCATGGGGGCTGCCCATGTCCCATCCTGAAGAAGAGTTGATAATCAGGATGGGACACAAACAGTCCCAGACATGCAGCTGCCCCAGACCTGAGACCAGGCAGAATGGAGCTTCTGGTCTTGGACCCAGATGCCAGCACCTGATTTCCAGAGGCAGTTCCAGGCCTGGGACATAGCACTACTCCCCACCCAACCCCTGGTGCACCTGACAGTCATACAGTTGGGATCAGAGGAGCTTGCCTGATTCCAAAAATTACACATCCTGCCATACACGTCTGGCGTGGCAAGATGCGTAGTTTCTTGGATCAGGCATAAAATTTCTCAGATCCCAATCTCATGATCACATTGGTCTACCAGAGGCCTCAGTCCTGATGGACCTTATGGCAAGATTTTGCTGGTTTTTCTTACTATGTAATTTAACAAGAGCTGCTTCTGTAACAGTAATATGTGCCCAAGTGCCTCTGGCCCTATTATTCTCCAGCCACTGTATCGCCTTGTCCCAGGTCCCTGGCATCAGGTTGGTACCAGAGTTCTCGCACAAATAGCAAACTCATCTGCCAGACCTCCTATGGGGTAAATCAATACTGTAATCCTGTTTTATAAATGTAGAAATGAGGCACAGACTTAAGCCCAGGTCTATAAAGGTAGCGAAGGGATCTGGGTCTCCATGGCTTGCCTTGGTCACAGCCTGTGATGCACCTGGGAATGAAACACTGGTCCCTACATCCCAGCACCCTGGGATTCCATTACTGTGTATCCACCGTGTTCTGGAATGATAGGCCTGAAGACTCCTCGTTGCTGTGCTTGGCTAGTTTTTACAGATAGACTTCAGGAACTCCAGAACAAAACCGCCTATCCAGTTGTTTTCTGATGAGCTATTCCTGAAACCACCCTACTTCTACCCCCATGGTGTCTATAAAATCAGAATCTTCATTAGATTATCAGGGAATGATTTGACCTGTTCTTCCTGCAGTCTGTCTTGATATCAGTGATGTATTACCTGTAACTGAGACGGTGAAGAACTATCCTGTTTATGGATTTGTTAGTCAAACATGCATATCAACTTCAGACCTTTGAGTGTCAGATTTCTTGCATCACCCTGGTATAAATTTAAGTTCCAAAATAGCATTTGGGGCTACTTCTATTCAAAGATGAGTGCAGATGGGAAGTGAAGCAATTTCATTTTTAAAGCTTGAATGTTTCTTGACTTTACCTACAAAACTCTTTGGAATCCAGCTATAAAAAAAATACTTAAATATTGCTAAAGGCACAATTTACCAGTATTTGCGTGGTCTTGCTTTTTACTTTTTTTGTTGCTTTTCCTTGCATCATTTATCAGTTAGACTTAATGTTTAAGGGTAGATACTTGTGACAAGTGTCCTAGTTTACTTAAATCTGTTAAGTGGGACAGTACTTCTGTTGTCTTATTGGAGCCATGACTAATTGCATCTTGTTGAAACATGCTTCTATGCTGAAATCCTGTATTATCAAATTTAATAGAAACCCCTGGGTTGGAAGCATTTAATTAGGGTATTTCAAATGCATCAAAACTAGGACACTACTATGTGAACAGTTATAAGTTAAGCTTAGTAAGCAAGTTTCTAGAAGACTAGAAGTAGACTTATTAGAATCTAAAGAGCAGAACAAGAAAAGTTGTAGTTGGCTTAAAGAGGCATTTTTATAAACTGAAATTTGGCTCAGTTTAATGCTGGTTTTATTTAAAAACAAACAAACAAAAAACCTTGTTTAAAACAAATTGATAGAAATGTCTCAACTCTTAATATTTCCAGTTATTTCCAGATGAGGTTTAACCATTTTGGTGGTTAATGCCAGGGCATGGAAGGGAATGGATTATGCTAGACATGCCCCATTCATTACACACACTCCCTCCTAATGTAGGGGTGTACAACCTTTTGCTTGTGGGCCATATCTGATCCTCAGCCCATGGGAGTCCTCACCTGTTTGACCCATGAGGCTCCCCATGGATCTGTGGGGAGCCTTGTGAGCTGTGGCCCTGCATGCCAGATCAAGCGTGCAGGGTAATGAGCCCACAATCCCTGTATGCGGGGGGCAGCACAGGGCCTCTGGTGCCCAGCTCCAGCCCCAGCCAGGTGGGTGCCAGAACAGTGAGCACTGCTGCTCTAAAGCATCTACTATTTGCTGCTGGCAGATGCAGGATACCGGGTTAGGTGGACTGTTCTGTTGTTCCTTGTCGTATAAGAACTTTTAAGCGAAGTATGTTTCATTGGTGAAAGAAATGCAAGGCAATTCTAGCTTGCTTATTCAAAAAAAGCAACCCTTTGGCTAATAATCAGTTGCAGTAATAGTAGAAAAGCTTGCACAACAGAGAACTAAGTTGACACAGTCCTCTTGAGTTACTACATTATATAAGGAAACTTCTTAGGTGCCTAAGATTCCTGGTAGACAAGATCTCATGCCAGGATCTTTAGTAACAGCTGCCTTTCTTGATATGGTACAAGTGCCTGAAAATCTAGCTCTAAGTTCAGCGTAAAAGTTTCCCAGTTTAATTATTTGGCAATATCAACACTGATGTTCCTGACAAGATAAGCAAAATCCAGCTCCTGACATCATAGAATTAGTGTAAGGGTTTCTAGGAATAAGCAATTCCACTATAGATTTTGAATAACTTTATTTATGATTCAGGATTTCAGTCTATTAGAATGTATTCTGAAAAGAGGAAGGTGAGGTATTGAGGAACCTACCTATGCTGATACTAAAAAAAAAAAAAAAAAAAAAAA